TGGTTACTGTGAATTAAGTATGCATCCAAAAGGAGTCTTCTCCTACTTTATACATAAAGGGCTCCCTAGAGCAAGAACTGCCTGAAGGTAAAAATTGTTTCTATGTGAAAAACAAATTGTCTCTTTCAAGAGTTCTGAATTTCAGAGGCAACCCAAATTTCAAGAAAAACAACCATGTTCTTTAAAGGGGGAAAGAGAGAACAAGTAGAGAGGTTTCAAAGCTATTAATTACAAGTTTGGAGTAGAATTTGATCAATGGCTCACGAGAAAATCAAGTGTTAAATAGAAGGGATAGTAAGAAATTTCAGCACTCACGCTCCTGTGAATCCAGAAGCACTGGCTGCTTCCAGCCACTCTGTACAACTGAGCAAAAGATAGTGGGTTGTCTTTTAACAAAGACAATGGAACAGGGGAGAAAGATGAAGTTGAGCCATGATCACAAGCATCTCAAATTCAACGAGTACACAGGCAATGTTAGACCTTTACTCAAAAAATGAATGAATTTTAGTCAGTTATGACACTACCAAAAAAATGGTTTATTCAAATTAGCTTCATGGTAACAAGAAAACAAACTGATAAGGTTCTAAGTTGTTTTTGCCTTAAACAGAGGATTCTGTTTCCTCTAATCATTCTTTGAGGAGATATAAGAATTTTTAAATTTTGAGAAAATAGAAATGCTTATAATCATGCACCAGTTCTGTTTGCATCTAATATTTATAAAACTCTGATTACCAAGCCATTTCTCAAAATACTAAATGAAAATGAGATTACATTTTTTTTCTTTGTATGTCATTTCCGGAGAGGAAATGACTGATTGTTTTAACCTGCTTATAGAAATAAGAAGCAAACATCCACATGTACATATATTTGAAATACCATTATTATTATTACATAGACTACATATTGAAATTTAAATTGAATATATACTACCACATAATAAATAACGGCCAAATGGACTATGAATAGTTCTTGGAACAACTGATATAATTCTGAAAACAATGCACAACTCTCAATACTTGCCAAGAAGTACTGCTTCCTGAGGGACCCCATTTGGAAACAATGAATTAATAACAGTCACTAACGATAGTGAGGGCATTTGAGAAGTACATGGTGTCCCACCAAATACTGGCCAGACAGCAATATAATTTTGATCAAAGAATCTATTTTAATGAAAGAGTAATGGAGAGCTGTTCCAAATACTTACAAGGAATCACACTGGGACCTGAGTCATCGAGCAGAAGCAGTTCTTCCTTGAGTTTAGCTTTTAATGAAAAACTGGAAGGGCTAGTCTTCGGCTCCTGGCTCCTGTTTCCTTCTAGGCAAAACTCCCTGAGGCAAGGAAATTCAAACGGTTGCTCCTTGCTCTGAAAGTGGGACCTGTTCTTACTTCTATCCTAGACCTATGGAGTCTGTTATTCAAACTGGATTAACAATCTATTCTTTTTAATAGTCTCATCAGGTGATTCATTGGGAAACCAGATTTGGAAACCATTGCTCTGGTAGAAAAAAATAAAAGGCTAATAACACAATTGGTAGCTGCGTGGTGGTGCTAAAGCAGCCATCGGAATGCTCAGGAAGCACCGGGTCAGGAACAGTATTGTGGGCCTGACACTCCCCACACCTGTCCCTTCCCTCTTAAGAATTAATTTCCCCCAATGCCGCGCCACCCCCCCCCCCCCCCCGCCTTTCTTGAAAGATACAGTTGGAAAACTCTCAAGTGAAAATCAGATCCATCCAATGATGTGAATGATTTAATTTTATACTGACTTATTCATTCAGGGGGCCTCCCTGTTGACGCAATGGGTTAAGACGCAGCACTATGAAGCTATTTGCAGCCACTGCAACACGAGTTCAATCCCTGGCCAGGGAGCTACCCACATGGCACAGCAGACCTCTCCTGTCTCACCCACTGCTCCTCTCAGCAGTGTATTTCAGTTGATCTGCCTGTTCTGCTCCTCACTCTGTCTCTGGTGGATCCTTTCACACCCCACACCTCTGGGCTGTACCCTAGTTCTTGTATGCATAAATAAATAAATCTTTAAAAAAATAATAATTATTATTTATTCGGGACTGTAATACAAAGAGGAACAACTGATCACAGACATGGTTTCCCTTTAAATGTGTTTTAAATCCATGTTGTCCTGTTTTGTGTTTGAAAAAGTACCATTCTTAATTCGTAACTACTTCATTCCTTGTTTATCGATATTTTAAATTACAGAGCCATAACTGTACCAAGTCACCTAAATGGTATTATGCTACTTGACACCCACTAATAAGGGAAAAACTAAAAAGAGCCTCCATCTGTCCACTGAACTTTCTGGGAAGCAACCAAGGCAGGCTTGCTGGGCTGTGCTCAAGCCGCAGGTCACCTGCCCCATATGCCCTCTGGGCTAGCTCTGGTGGAAACAGCACAGCAGGGTGAGGGCAGAGAGGGACAGGTGGAAAGCACTGCCTTTAGCCTACAGGCACCTCTGAAGTACATGTTGCCTTCCTGGGGCCTGCCAACAAGCCAAGATAACACAAAGAGGAGCTCTTGGAGATGTGATTCATGACCAAAGTAAAAACAGCAAGTTTTAGCAGAATAACTGGTAACAGAACTATACTGGAAACACAGCTCTCAATTTAGCAGCTCTGTGACCCTAGGCAAATTACTTAACCTTTTCAAACTTCAGGTTTTTTATAGAAGCTTAAAAGTAGATTGAAAACTCCTATTCCAAAACTCAGATCCAGATGAGTTTTCAGGATTCAGATTTTCTGGATTATAAGACATAACATGTTGTCGACACCACATATTTATTTAAATAATAAATAAAACCAAGCAAGGAAGGTCTAACAAAATCTCCTAAAATAAAATCCATTAATATTTCTGCAGCCAAGCATGAATATCCAAAACAATAAACGTTCTCAGAAAACTTCACGTTACATTTTCCTGTCAAAGGATTTTAGATCAGGTCAGTTTTACTTTCAAATGAGTTGTGAAAAACTTAAAGCTTTCAAAGCTTTTGGGGGGATTTCACAATTGAAGGAAAGGGGTTGTGCCTCTCTTAGAATATTATTTGCTTTGGGCCTCCCTGGTGGCACAAGGGGTCAAGACGCAAACTATGAAGTGGCTATTCGCAGCCACTGCCGCAGGAGTTTGATCCCCAGCCAGGGAGCTACCCACATGGTGTGGCAGACCTCTCCTGTCTCGCCCACTGCTACCCTCAGCGGTGTATTTCGGTCCATCTGCCTGTTCTGTTCCCCATTCTGTCTCTGGGGATTCCTCTCACCCCCACACCTCTGGCCTGTACCCCAGTTCTTGTATGCATAAATAAATAAATCTTTAAAAATATATATTATTTGCTTCAGGGTTGTTATAAGAATTAAATGAGGCAGTGCACATAAAGCACTTAAAATCTGATATTCTTTCTCCTGACAAGTGGGACCCAGTGTCCCAGGGATAGAGACTGAGCACTTCAAGCCTATAATTTCATTGAGCCCTAGCCTCCAGCTGTGGAGACATCAGCATTCTCCTTTTTGATCACAAGTTCTCGCCTTTACAATCTATGAGTCCTGTCACCAGTTACAATGCCCACTCCACCATCTTCCTCAGGAATCTTAGCAAGTCTTCATGCAAACTTGCCCCAAGTTTTTAAGGTGGGTGCTACAGAATAGCTCTCCCCTATCCGGGGAGTGAGAAGACAGGGCAATCATTCTGAATACTAGGGCAACCTAGGGATAATTAGGCAGTCTCGAGGAAAGTGCAGGGACTTCAGGAGAGTTAAGGAAGGCTCCAGAGAGATAAGGGTAACAAATTCCAAATGGACTAATCAGTACACCAGGACTTATGACATTAGGGACTTACTTTATGACATTAGGGTAGACAGGACATTCTAAATAGAGAGCAATGAAGAAAAAAGATAAGGGCTGGGACACAGAGACTTAGTTCTGGGCACAGAGACATTTGGGCAGTGAGTGAGATCACCGAGAACTAACCAATCACAGAGAGACTAGGGGAGCTTTAGAATAATTAGGGGGAAAAAGGTATGTATTCCCTGAGGCCCGACTCCACTTCAGGCTTCCTTGCCCCTCCCTGGCCTGGTTCCCTGGCCTGGGAGTCCCACTTTATTTCTGTTCCTTTTCTCCTCAATAAACTTTTTCTTTCTCTAAACAAACCTGCCCCCTCTCGCTTGCTTGCCTGAGCGTCTGCAAAGTTCCTGCTGTGGCTTCATGAGACACCAACCCGTGGTGGTCTAGTGGCTGGGACTCAGCACTGCCCCTGCAGCCTGGGATCCATTCCTGGCTGGTAGGCTAGGCCTGAAAACCTACAATTCCAGTCTCAATTCCATGGGGGATGTTCCCCAGCATCAAAAATATTGTTGAAGGCAATTGTTAAAATCAGTAAAAGTGATCATAAAGTAAAAAATATGGGAAAGACATACCAGAACAGCCACATGAAACCTCAGTTAGGCATTGACTGTGTACCGTGGACCAGGTACTGCTCTGCTGGGTCACCTGCCCCACCCAAAGATAGCACAGTTTCTCTGGTTCTCTGTCCATTCCTCAAAAGAGCTTTGCTAAATCATAATCAGCAATTGTAGCACCATCCTCAAGTGAGACAGTGCTTTAAAATTTACTAGGACTCCTACAATACATCATCTTGTGATGTATTGTACCTATGTCAGATCTATCTCCTCCACCAGGCTTTATCTCCTCAGCCAACCAGGTTTCCCACAGCAGGCAATTTCCATAAAATGCTGGTTGTTCCTGTCAGTGGAGGACTGAGCATCAAAAACATCAAGTGATGCCGATCAAGACATGACACCCACCGACCAGCCCAGCGACACTACTCTGTCTGCCCCCCTGGGCCAACTCAGGGGCCTCCTTGGGCTGGAGGCCATGTTACTCTGACATGCAGAAGAACAGGCTCTTATCAGCAAGAACAAGAGCTCTTGTGGTATTGGCATTCCACTGTCACCAAGAACAGAGGTTCCCAAACTGTGACTGAGCCCCAGACTCACCCTGGGAGATTTTCCAATACAGATTTCCAGACTCCATTTCCAAAGATTCTGAGACTGTAGATGTGAGGGGAAGGTTGGGAATCTATACTTTATGATTCTCCCCAGATGATTCTGACATAAAGGCAGTCTTGGGAACTAGTGACCTAGAAAATCAGAAACACAAATTATAGAAAAATCACTTTAAATATACCAATTCTTATTTCTGGCAACTATAAAATCTCTGGTCACACCAGGGACAGAAAGGAAATGACCTTGAGATATTAATACAAACAGCTATAATAACTATTCACTTCGGGTAACCTTTATGGAAATGACATAGTGACTTTGTGAGGGAAGCACAAAATTATAAAACGTGAAGCGAAAATCAGGACAGATGAATATTGGTCATCTAAAGACGTGTTCAGGCAGCTTCCTAGGAAGGCTTACAGCTCATTCTCCACCTGGTTCTCTCCACTAGCTCCCCTCTGGCCTTCCCCTGAGCTCCCCAATAGAAGCTGCCTTCACTTACAGGATGACACTTCTGAAATCAAATGGAAACCGAAAAATTACTTCTCTGGTTAGCATCTGTGTGGCAATATGTTTACTGCCTCCATTCAGCCCTGAGCAACTGCCAGGAAAGCCAAAAAGAGGGCAAGAGCTCTATTCATCTAATTACTTCAGCAGAAGAAAAATGTGTTAATTAACTGACCTTAATAATTCATATACATCTGAACCGAGGGATCATTAGACTTGCACGCAAGGCCTGGCGTCTGAATAAAGGATCATTGGACTGATCTCAGGGACAGCCTCACTCTGGAAAGGTGATCTATTTTTGTTTTCTTCAGAACAAATCTACCACCTCCAAAATGATTGAGGAGCCTTTCTGCAAATTACAGGCTTGCTGTAATACCTGATTCCTACAATTTCTTCAGCCCCTCCGGGGGATGTGAAATATTTTTAGAATCACAACAGCCTAACACATTAATTGGATTTCATTATGCTGGCTGCTGATTGGAACATCATACAGTAAAGGGGAATGTGACTCTGTGTGTCCTCTGCAGACTTCCAAATCAGAGAGAGGAGGGACAACGAGGCTTGCTTTTCTGGGCAGTGGATGGAGTCATTCAAACCACAGCTCTCTATTGAAAATGCTGCTGTACAGTCACCAGCCAAGAAACAAGTACAACAAGGCTCAGTGTTTGAAATCACTCTAAGAAGTGGAAAGGATGCTGGCAATTTCATGCTCAAAGATACCGAGACCCTATATAGGTACAGTGTTCACATCTGCCTTCTTGAGGTCTTAGCGGGGGGGAGGTAGAGACACATTGTAAGCCCGCAAAGAGGAAGGGGGAAATTAATCATGTTGTATTTGCAATGGGACAAAGTCATGTTCCAAAGGCATTTATTAGGCAATTACAGTGGCGTCACAGACGAGCAGCACACCGATAGGAGCTGAGAGTCTACTTTGCAGAGAACAGGAGCAGTGAATAGAGAGCAGTGGGAGGCCCTTCAGAGGGTCAGCAAGACATGGTGGTGATGACACAGATGCAGCTGGCTGCGGTGGCAGGGGAGGAACACCTGCCCCTGGCAGCCACTCCAGCCCCTCAGGCCAAGGCCATCACTACAGCGTGTCTGCCACAGCTGCGCCCGACTCAGAGCACAGCCAGAGGGACACCTGCCTCCCCAGCAAAGGGGCCCTTGCCAGAGGCCCAGTCAGAGGTGAGAGTAGGCTGAGAGGCCTGCCAACCACAGGCCCTCATGCATGGGCTCCTGATCGTGTTTGTGTTGAGTTGAATTATATCCCATCCTCCCACCTCACCTCACTCCCCCAGTAATATGTTGAAATCCTAACTTCCTGCGCCTCTCAATGTGAGCTTACTGGGCAGATAGGGTTGCTGCAGATGTACTTAGTCAAGATGAGGTCACGCTGGCGTGGGACGGACCTCGAATCCAATATGATGGATATCTTTATAAAAAGGAACGTCGTGTGCAGGGACAGAAGCACATGCCAGGAGAATGCCGTGTGAAGACTGGCGTTCTGCAGCCACAAACTAAGGAACTTCCAGAGAGAGGAGAGACCAGGACCAGATCCTTCCCTAGCGCCTCCAGGGGCAGCTCAGCTGTGCTAACTCCTGCACGTCAGACTTCTAGATCTGAGAAAGTACCAGTCTCTGCTGTTCTAAGTCACCTAGTCTATGTTGCAAACTGCACACCTACTGCTTTGTTACAGCAGCCCTGGGGAACTCATCCACTGCGCCAAGGAGGAAGTTTTGAGTGGGTGGAGAGGGCTCAGTCCCTGGCCCTGGACTCCAGCAGCCGCGCTCCAAAGCCCAATCCGGTGTCCTTAGACAACTGCTAGACCTTTGAGCCGATTGCCCCAGTTACAGAATAGGGTTGTTCAGACAGTGTCTGTCTGTAGGCTTGTGTGGTGGAGGGTAAGGAAAAATGTCAGGCTTTTCTGCCCTCCCGCCATCAGGATAGATGAAGGACTCTTGCGGTCCTGAATGCATGCCTGATGGCGGGCACCTGGAGTAGAGTGTGGGCATAGGTAGATGGGATTCACCTGGGCTGAGACTGGGCTTTTAAGGGCGGCGTCATGGGGGACGCCAGCAGAAGCTGAAAGAGAAGCTGAGAAAGAAGTAACAGAAGCCGAGAGAGAAGCGGAGACCTTCAGAGAGCCCAGAGAGAGTGAAGACTTGCTGGGGGCTGGGAGGCCTGCCAGCCTCCAGGCCCCCCAGCACTCCTGCCTGCCATGCACCCACTAAATCCCAATAAAGACCTGCAAAAAATCCACTGAGGACTCTGAGTCCTCCCTTACCTGGTCTGCATGGGATCACAGAAAACCTGCTCTGTGCCCATTCCTGCCTGCACAGTGGTTAAATGAGACGGCAGCGGTCAGGCGGGGAGCCCCACACCCAGCACCTAGTACAGATTCAACACATGAGTTAGCGCCTCCTATTAAGCAGCTTCAGAAACAAATCAGCAAAATGTGGCTGACAGAGGACATCTTTTTCCTCCTAGATTTTACTCCGTACTCTGCAGGAATTGAAATACACATTTTCTACCGTGACAGCAAAATTATTTATCTGCAAGTCTTTTTCACAAATACCACAACTCTCCTCAAATCCTTCTTTCCATATCGCCGCTTCACTAAATCACTCCCAGCTTGCCAATCCCCCACGGGCCCCTCTCTCTTCACCTACTTCCCATCCGTCTCCATCCACAGCCTTCCCTCCTGGGAACGTGCCTGTCTTCCTTGCCCTTTCTGCCGGCTCTGCCCCCTCCAGCTATAAATCTTCCATGCTCACTAGCTGCTCTGCCTGGAGCCATGCCCCACGTGGGCACGCCCCTCCTTTAAGGCCCCTCATCCTGCCATCTCCTCATCCAATTATAGTGAATGGAAATAGAAGGCTGGTTCCCACTCACACCTAAACATCATCAACTACCTTCTAACCCTACCCCACCCACAGCTGATAAAAATAATCCTTTAAAAAGCAGAATGAGTCAGATTAACCCAACCTCTTCTTAATGCACCATGAGGCGCTCTGTCTCCAAGGCCTGCACAGAAACACAGCATATGCGAGAGAGACGTCTGCGGGGTGACTGTTCATGAAAGGAAGCCGCCGGGGGCGGGGGGTGGCCTGTGCCCCTTCACCCTCCTGCATCCCCGTCCACGAGGCGCTCCCAGGGAAAAGTCAGAGCAGCGCTCAGAGGCTGTCTGTGTGAAGGACGCAGAGCCTCTCTCTGGGTAACACTGGACTGCTGAGCCTCCCAAGCTCCAAATTGTGATGGACTTTGGGTCTTGATTAGGACCACTTACGCACACTCCAAATCCTGAATTTTTACCTAACACAGCAACTCCTGAATCTTAGGGGAAAGTGGTAGATGTCCACCCCATGACTTCTTATGCAAACCTATCCGTCCTCTACCCAGACTGTACACACCGAGAGAGAGGCTGGCTCTTCCCAGTCGAACAAAAAGTTCCCTCCCAGGGTCTCCCTGGTGGCGCAAGGGGTTAAGACGCAACCTATGAATCTGTCCGCAGCCACTGCAACAAGAGTTCGATCCCCAGCCAGGGAGCTACCCACATGGCACGGCAGACCTCTCCTGTCTCACCTGCTGCTCCCCTCAGCAGAGTATTTCAGTCAGTCAGCCTGTTTCTGCTCCCCGTTCTGTCTCTGGTGAATCCTCTCAGACACCACCCCCCCCACACACACACACACCTCTGGCCTGTACTCCAGTTCTTGTATGCATAAATAAATAAATCTTTAAAAAAAAGTTCCCTCCAAAGCACAATGGACTATGGTGGCTAATTATGGGTGCTTTGGTGCTGGGAGCACAATGGCAACATCAGCAGAAGTGGGGGATCCTGTACTGCCAAAATATTTACATGGATGTAAACCAATATGACCTCAATAAAATTTAAAAAGTAAACCTCCCTCTCATCCCCCCTTTATCCAGAGCTGAGGTCATGTCTTGTGCTCATAGCCAGCCCCTCCCAGGAAGGAAGGCAGCATTCAACAAGGGGGCTTGAGAACTTTCAGGAGAAGGAAGGACTGGATACATGTTTCCTCCAGGTCCAGCAAGAAGGAAGAAGTTCCCTGCCTCCAGCCACAGCCCCTCCTGTCACCTCCCCTGCTTGTGTGTGTACTTGTGTTCCAGGCTCAGAACATCTACTTATGGAGGGGGAGGGTGCTCCCTGGTGGCACAAGGGGTTAAGCATAGCACTATGAAGCTATCTGCAACCACTGTATCACAAGTTCGATCCCCGGCCAGGGAGCTACTCACATGGTGCAGCAGACCTCTCCTGTCTCTCCCGCTGCTCCCCTCAGCAGTGTATTTCAGTAAATATTCCTGTTCTGCTCCCCACTCTGTCTCTGGTGGGTCCTCTCACCACCACCTCCTCCTCTGGCCTGTACCCCACTTCTTGTATGCATGAATAAATAAATCTTTAAAAAAAAAAAAGAAAGAAAGAACATCTACTTGGGGCTGTGCAGATCCCCATCCTCCTGGCTCTGGCGCCTACTTAATTTGCGGTTTTGCTGCCATCATCAGGAAGGCTCCAGGCAAGAGCAATAGCAATTCAATGACGATGTAGAGAAGAAGGCCCAGGGGTCATGGGAATTTTGCTTGGTAGGGGAAACGCAGAAAGCAGAAGCTCACC